ATCAACACCAACACCACAACATCACCATCACCATCAACACCAACATCACCAACACCACACATCATCACCATCAACATCATCATCACCATCACACCAACAACATCATCAACACCAACAACATCCATCACATCAACCCAACATCACATCAACACCAACAACATCACCAACAACACCAACATCACATCAACACCATCATCAATCATCAACCAGCACCCTCCTAACCCCAACATCACCATCAACACCATCACCATCACCAACATCAACATCAACACCACAATCAACATCACCCATCACACAACATCAACACCATCAACACCATCATCACCACCATCAACACCAACACCATCACCAACACCAACACCATCAACCACCACCATCACCATCAACAACCATCACCATCAACACTCACCATCAACACCAACATCACCATCAACACCATCAACACCAACACCATCACCACCATCAACACAACATCACCAACACCATCAATCACCACCATCACCATCAACACCAAACATCCACACCATCAACACCCAACACCATCAACACCCAGCACCCTCCACACTCACCATCAACACCACATCAACTCAACACATCAACACCATCACATCAACACCATCACACCACCCTCAACACCATCATCAAACACCCCCCTACCACCCCTACACCCCTTACCGTGGTGGAAGAGCTGTTGGAGCCGATGGTGCAGTTGAGGAAGACAGAACGACCCTCTTGGACCGTCTTGTGGTAGTCCGTGTAGTCGAGGTGGTCGTCATACGGCTCTGGAAAGAGGAATTGGAGGTGTGGGGGGGGGAGATATAATTTTTTTGTGGTCGGTAATAGATGGATAGGTAGGTAGGTAGGTAGATAGATAGATAGATAGATAGATAGATAGATAGATTGATAGATAGATAGATAGATGATAAATTGATAGATAGAGAGAGAGAGAGACAGATATAGATAGATAGGTAGATATAGATAGATATAGATAGATATAGATAGATAGATAGATAGTAGATAGATCGATAGATATAGATAGATAGAGATAGATAGATATAGATAGATAGATAGATATAGATAGATAGATAGATATAGATAGATAGATATAGATAGACAGATAGATATAGATAGATATATATAGATTGATAGATATAAATAGATAGATATAGATCGATAGATATAGATAGATAGATAGATGTAGATAGATAGATAGATATAGATTGATAGATAGATAGATAAAGATAAATATATAGATAGATAGATAGATACAGATAGATAGATAGATATAGATAAATATATAGATAGATATAGATAGATCGATAGATATAGATCGATAGATATAGATAGATAGATATAAATCGATATAGATAGATAGATAGATAGACAGATATAGATAGATAGACAGATATAGATAGATAGATAGACATATAGATAGATAGACAGATATAGATAGAGAGATAGATAGAAATAGACAGATAGATAGATAGATATAGATAGAAATAGATAGAGATAGATAGATAGAGGTAGATAGATAGATAGGTAAATCAACTGATAGATGTGGATGACTCAGTGGTTGAAAGAATGAATAAGTAAGTAAATAAATATATAAGTGGATAAATACATACGTAAATAAATAAAGGAAGGAAGATAGGAGAACGTTAATTACAAGAAAACGAAACTAAATGAAAAAAAATCATCAGTGTTAATTTGAAGAGCCTTAAAAAATTAATCGATTTAGGTATATAAAAATAAAATGTGCTTAAAGAATAGGAATAAGAATAATACATACCTACTTATATATAAATTCTAAGTTTTATAAGTTTGTTTGTTTTTAAGAATGGCTCATACCTACTAATATATATAAATTCTGTATTTCTATAATCACCATAATTGTCATTTTCCTTCAACAAATAACCATCCTTATCCTCATTATCTCAGTTACTAAAACAATTATCATTAATCAAAAAAAAAAAAAACAGATCAAAATCACACTCATACCATCATCAATAATACAAAAAAATATATATATATATTAAAAAAAAAAACACTTAAATCATCATTAATAATAGAAATTAAGAAACGAAAAAATTATTAAAAAACACTTGAACCATCATCAATAATACAAATCAAAAACACGAAAAAAATAATAAAATAACACCCATATCAATATTTTTTTTCCAATTACACGCATACCATCATTAGTAATACAAATTAAAAACAAACCAAAAAATCAAAAATAAAAACACTCAATCAACAATTTTTTTTTTAATCAAAACCACACATACCATCCTCATTAACACACCAAAAAACGAAACAAAAAAAAAATAATAATAATAGTAAAATAAAATCAAAAACAAAATCAAATAACATATAGAAATAACACCAAAAAAACGAAACAAAAAAATTAAATAGTAGTAAAACAAAAACAAAAAATAATAAAATAAAACAAAACCACGCCCCCACGTACCATAGCCTCCTTCGCCGATGAGATACCGAGCCAGTATGAGCGCCCTCGTGCTCCCGACGCGACGCCCATTCACGTTGCAGGCGTACTTGGTGTCCACGAAGCCCGCCAGGACCACGAGACCCAAGACCCCGTCTCGGTTCCACGGCTGGAAGTGCGTCTTCTCGTCGGCCAAGATCGTGGTTCCGGAGGTGAGTTGCGTCTCGATGTCGGCGTCGAACCAGTCCATCTGCGAGAGTGGTGTGGGGGTGGGGGGGGGGGGGAGGGGGGTAGTTAGTTGGGTTGTTAGGGAATGGGTTTCTTTGTTTGTTTTGTTGTTTCTTCATCTTTCTCTGTTTTGTTGTTTTCTTTTTCTTTCTCTTTTTTCTTAATTTCTCTCTCTCTCTCTATCCCTCTCTCCCTTATCTCTCCTCTCTCTATCTATCTATCCCTCTCTCTCTTATCTCCCTCTCTCTGTCTATCTATCCCTCTCTCTCTCTATCTATTCCTCTCTCTCTCTATCTATCCCTCTCTCTATCTATCTATCCCTCTCTCTATTTATCTATCCCTCTCTCTCTCTATCTATCCCTCTCTCTCTCTATCTATCCCTCTCTCTATCTATCTATCCCTCTCTCTCTCTCTCTCTCTCTATCTATCCCTCTCTCTCTCTATCTCCCTCTCTCTATCTATCTCTCTCTCTCTCTCTATCTATCCCTCTCTCTCTCTATCTATATCTATCCCTCTCTCTCTCTATCTATCCCTCTCTCTCTCTATCTATCCCTCTCTCTCTCTATCTATCCCTCTCTCTCTATCTATCCCTCTGTCTCTCTATCTATCTCTCTCTCTCTATCTGTCTCTCTCTATCCCTCTCTCTCTCTATCCCCTCTCTATCTCTCTATCCCTCTCTCTGTGTGCTTCTCTCTCTCTCCTTCACTCTGTGTGTTTCTCCTCCTCCCTCCCTCTCCCTTCCTCTCCCCCTTTTTCCTCCCCCTTTCCTTCCCTCTCCCTCCCTCCCTTTCCCTCTCAAGTCTTTTTTTTTTTTTTTCTTTCTCTTTCCTTCTATGTTATCTTGTGCTTTTTTTCTAATCACTTTTTTCGTTTCCTTCGTCATTTTTTTATTCTTTATTTAATTCACTTTTATCTGTCCTTTATATTTGTTTCTTTATTAATGATAACTACCATATATGTTTGTTATTATTCCTGACATTAATGTTAGTAGTTCATTATTGATAGTAATGATATCAACATTATCATCACTATCATTATGATCATCATTATCATTATCAGAACTAAAATCAGCAAAGAATTACTTCTGATCCTTATCACACACAAAACAATTACTAAATTACTAATAACTATTATCAGTATCCCCTTTTTTCTTCAATTTATACTGCATCCATCCCACTATTAATATTCCTCTACCATCCTATATACTTTCTAAAACTGCTGTAAAATATAACAATTAATTAATAATAATAGCAATTAATGGCAGCCTAATAACCCGTACCTTGGTATCTTCTTCCTGCGTCCGAATGCATGGGAGGAAAGCCGTCTCGTCCTCGACTACGGACACGCTGGGGAGCATGATGTCTTCGAACGCGGGCTGGGAGGCTGTGGGCGGGAGAGAAGTCGTGAAATTTACGGAATTGTTGATATATTTTCCGTTTGGGAATGTTTCAAGCCCGGATTCGAAGCCTCACCTTGCTCCGCGCGCACCACGACGCTCGCGCTGAAACCCGCCACGAAGTTGTGGGCTCGGCAAAGGTACTCCGTCTCGTTCTCCGGCCCCTCGACGGTGACCTCCACGACGGCCGCGGACTCCCCGGCCTCCTGGAACGTCTCCGAGGGAACGACCTCGCCGTTCTTGAACCACGTGAGCTTGGCGTGGGGGAAGCCGCCGCCGCTGCTGCACGTCAGGTTGAAGACCGAGCCGATCTTCACCCGTTCGGACGCGTCGTAGCCGTGGATGGTCGGTTCCCCGGGCGCTGGAGCGGATAGGGGGAATGAAATGGGGATAGAAAATGGATAATAGGATAGAAATGAGAGAAGGATAGGAATATGGTCTTCGCAACATATTTCAGATATATTCAATTCAATTCAAGAGAAACAGAACAAAGAATAAATGGATAAACAATTGGATAAAACAAAAGTCTCAAAGCAAAAACCCTCTTAGAACTTACAATCCTCTCCCTGAATGTTTGAAGACCTATAACAACTCCAAAGAACGATTTTAAAAGCTACAACGCGGAGCAAAAAGAAAACTTAATATATATAAACAAACAAATTAGCAAACAAAAGAAAATCAACTCAGCAAAAAAAAAAATCAAGAAACAAAAATGAAATCTCCGAGCAAGAGCCTCTTTAAAAGCCGACTCTTTCGCCCTTCGAGCCGACTCACCGACCGCCTCCCCGAAGATCCTGTAGGAGCTGTCGGAACTCTCCCCGAGGGCAGCGCACGCCTCCGACGAGGTCCTGCTCACGACGTAGCGGTGGCGCTCCTCCTCGACCTCGCCCTCGCCCTCCTCCTCGGCGAAGGTGAAGCAGCGGTAGCGAGGTTCCCCGCCGAGGATTGACTCCAGTTTCCCCATCAGGTAGCTGGCGTTCCCCTCGCTCCAGGTCCCCACGCACTCGATTCTCTCCGCTGCTCGAGGGGAAGAGGGAAGGAGAGAGGGGAGAGGGGGGAGGAGAGAGGAGAGAGGGGGCAGGAGGAGGAGAAAGGGAGAAGGAGAAGTAGGGAGAGGAAAGGGAAGGAGAGAGGGGAGAGGAAAAGAGAGAGGGAATAGGAGGAGAGGGGGTAGTAGAGGGAAGAGAGGACGGGGGAGGAGAGAGGAGAGAGGGGACAGGAGGAGGAGAAAGGGAGAGGAGAGAGGGGGCAGGAGAAAAGGAAATGTGAGGAGGAGAGATGGGAGAGGGAAGGAGAGAGGGGAGAGGGAGGAGAGAGAAAGGAGGGGAGAGGGAGAGAGAGAAAGAGGGGGAATGGGAGAAGGGAGGAGAGAGGAGAAAGGGGCAGAAGGGAATGGGAGGAGGAGAGAGAGGAGGGGGAAGAAAAGAGGATAGAGGAGAGGGGGGAGTAGAGAGAAGAGAGGGGGAATGGGAGGGGAGAGTAGGGAGGGGGGAAGAAAAGAGGGGAGGGGGGAGGTGAGAGATGAGGGGGGAGTAGAGAGAAGAGAGGGGGAATGGGAGGAGGAGAGAAGAGAGAGGGGAGAGTAGAGAGAAGAGAGGGGACGGGGGGAGGAGAAAGTGGAGGAGAGAGCGAAGAGGGGGGAGGAGAGAGGAGGTAGGGGACAGGGGAGTAGAAAGGGGAGAGGGGAGGGGGAGGAAGAGGGGACGGGGAGGGGAGGAGGAAATTGTGCGATAGATATTCATTCTAACGGATATGCAATAATAATACACATACACAGGAAATAAACGCAAATTTATCAGTATATATACATATCCATATATCTACCGGACAGATAGTAATTAAATGCAACTCTATATCAGATAGACAGAACAAACATGCCTTTATTATTTCTGTGAATATGCGTCTCAATGTTTTGAAAATATTATCAATGCTTCAATATCCTACTATTTAAATGTTATATGTGATTGAATATAACTGATGTTAGAAATTGGAAATTATGAACTGAAAAGATGCACGGTATATATTTGATGGTTGAATTAATTTAGGTTTATATATAACTGTTATATATTATATATTATAATAATTATTGTGTATAATAATATATTATGGTATATATTATATATATAATTATATATATGATTTGATGGTCTAATTATTCAATGTGAGTATATATAGACTAATAATTAGTGTAGGTGCTAAAATAATTGAATATGAACTTTAAATTTGATGATTGATAGCACTTAGCTAATGGCCCAATGATAATTAATATATGAGTGATATAGCTTAAACCAATAGGTATAATGACTAAATTTATATAAGTGTAGCGTCTAAAAATGGTATATATGACTATAATAAATTGGTGAATGCGCTACCAATGGTATATAATGACTAAATTTAGTGTAGGCTAAACATGGTAATGACTCTAATTGGTGATAGCTACCAATGGATGACTATTAATTATATATAGTGTAGTAGCTAAATAATGGATGACTAATTGGTTGAGAATGTATAATTAATAGCTACCTAAATGGTGTATAAATGACTAATTGGGTGATGTGCTACCAATGGTATAATGGACTTTAAAATTAGTGTAGTCTAATATATAAAGTTGTTGTTATATGAACTAATTTGTGATGTAATTGCTACCAATTGTGATGGGTTACTAAATTAGTATGTAGGCTAAAAATGGTATATTATATAATAATATAATGAATTAACTATAAATGTTAGGTGTAGGCTTAAAAATGGATGTAACTATATAAATTGCGTGATAGTAATACCACCATATAATGGTATATGACATAAATATAGTGGTATAGGCTTTAAAAACGGGTTATGATATAATTATTAAATTGGTACTATCCTCATCTCAATGTATGATTAACGCTATAATATATATATATATTGATTAGTATTATTACTTATGTAATTACTAATTATTAGTATGAATAGGTGTGATAATTACTCACAGTAGAGATCAAACTAATATAATTAATGTAGCCTAAATTAATAATGAGTTAACGGTTACTATAAAATTTGAGTACTATAATTATTAGTACTACCAACTCAGTGACGGACTCCCTCAGTTGATTTTATTGCAATAACCAAGTTTATATGTTAGTAGTTTTATTGCATGGCATTCAACATTTACTGTTTGTTTATGATTTATTAGTAATAGCTCTAAGTAAAAGTGACAAAAAAAACATATATATGATAAATGTAATACATTAACTAACATGATAAAAGTGTGGACAAAAAAAGACATATTATGAATAAGATATGTATAATCTAATCTAAACAACAGTAAAAGTGACATAAAATATACAATGATAAAAGTAATCATATATCAATAATCAAGTAAAATGACATATAATAAAATATACTATAAATGATTAATAATTATTATAATACTAATCTAATAATATAAACAACAGTAAAAGTGACAAATAATTATATACTCCAATAATGATTAAATATATGTAATAATCATTTAATAACATAACTAGTTATAAAAGTAGAACAAAAAAACAATCATAAATGATAAATCATATCATTAATATCAACAGTGAATAAATAATAGTGACAAAAAAACAATAATGATAATGTATCAATTTAAAAATAAACAGTAAGTAAGTGACAAAAAATACATAATGATAAATGTAATCATTCATATAACATACAGTAAAAGTGAGCTCAAAAAAGATACAATATATATTATGAATGTATATTAATTCATAATAATTTGTAATAAACTCAGTAAAAGTGTGACATAAAATAAATAACAACTAACTCAAAGCCCAAAAACTCTCAGTAATAAAGGTGAAATGAGAGAATAGGGATGTAGAAGTTATAAGCACTCAAACAACATTAAATGACCATTAATAAAAAACATAACAACAATCAATAAGCCAAAAATAAATTAACGATACCCATCAACGCACAGCGGACCTAGTCGGTTATGGATGTGTCGTATGTCCCTACGTCGTGAACAGTAGATAGTCTGATAGTGTGAATTATATATAAACTAACTGAGCTCTAGGTTGCCGTTTGATTAGTCTAGGTATAGAGTTGCGAGTCGTGATGATCGTGGTTTCGGCGGCCAGCTACCTCGGTGGCGCTAAGGTCGGTTACGTAGTTGAATAACTGTGACGGAGCCTACCTAGGAACGACAGGCTCAGCTCGTTATGTCTATGTCCATTAATATACTTACCGCTATTGAAACTCTTAGTAATGATTGATATGTAGCCGTCTTGGGCGGGGTTGAACGGGTCATGAGGTACATTAAGGGTACTTGTGTGAATGTGATGGCGTCGTGGTGGCCTCGCCACGGGTGACTTACCAGTAGCAAGGGGTGGTACAGGGGTGAAGGTGGGTATGGAGAGGGTATTTATATATTATTATATGATATTAAGAAGGAGGAAATATTATCTTTTATATATAATAATAATATTGTTTTGTTAAGAGGAATAAATAAACAATAATGTATGTTAATGTAATGATAATATTATATTATCATCATTATCTATACATAAATTTAATAATAATAATAATATAATGATAATAATATAAATTAATAAATATATTGATTAGATAATAAATATTAAATATATATAGATAATAATTTATAATTAATAGTAATGAAATTATAATAATAAATGTAATTAAATAATAATAATTAAAGTATAATAATAATTAGTAACAATAATGATAATATTATAATAAAAAATAAAATAATAAATAAATTTGAATTAAAATATAAATGATCTAATAATAAGAATAAGTTAAAATAATAAGAGTAATGCTAATTTAAGAGAATAATAAGAAGAAGAAGTAAATATAAATAATTAGAAGTAAAGAATGGACATAATTTAAATAAGAATAATAACTTTAATTATAAACAATTATAATCAAATGAAGAGATAATAAAAAATGAATTAGATAGAAAAAATATAAAATCCCAACAACAGAAATAGCTAAGCGTATAACAAAAACTCAATCTCCAACTATAAATAGCAAAGTATAAATACAATTAGCAAAAACAAAGTAGAATATCTGTCCATACTATTCTTACTTATATAACATGTTAAAAGTGGATAATTACCCTACGACGAACAGAATTGCAATAACTTAAGATATAACAAACGTGTGAATGGGAAGTACGAGAAAACATTACGAAATATATACCTGAAGGTCATTTTTCGCTTAATTTATGCTCTATATCCTCACCTATGACTTATATGACATATATTAGCGTAGAAATTAAGGTACACTTATAGATTTAATATTTCGTGTGTTTCCTTGTGACCTTACCCTTTTCGTTGTTCTCTGTTAATGCGATCATAATAATCACTCGATTTAATATAATTATTATTTTCCTTCACTACTGTATATTACACGTCAATTACTTACATTCTTGTTATTATAGTTATGAGTAGATATAAATATCATCTCATAATTTATCTTAATAGATATTTCATCTTATTTAGTGTAGCGTAATGAAAAATAAAATAGTAGATATTAGGATGTAGTGTAATATATAAATGATAAATATAATTAATAATAATAAAAAAATAAAAATAAATATAAAATAATAATTATAAGAATAATTATAAATAATAATTAAATATATATAGAAATATAATTAATAATGATAATGAATAATAAAAATTATAATATAATTAATAATAACATATAATGATAATAGATGTATACAAAATAATTAATAATGTTAATTTGATTAAATGAATATATAATATATATATTAATATTATATATATATAAATATTAATAATAATTTAATATAAATAATATAATAATTACAATAGTGAATATAGGGATATAGTAAAAATCATCTCTCAATTACTAACATCTCTTTGTATAGTGTGGGAAAATAAAATGTTATATGGTGATTATTAATAATAATAATAATTAATAATAATAATAATAATTTAATAACATAATTATTAAATATAAATAATAATATTGGTATAGGTAATTAATATAATATTAATAATTTAATCTATATGATATAAATTAAAAATATAATTAATCTATCATAATAATAATAAACAATAAATTTAATCCATCTATACATAATGATGAAAATTAAATCAATAATGATTGAAATACCTTAATATAAATTATTTTGATTAAATGAAAATAATAATATAATAATAATAATAATATAATTAAATATATAATAATAAATAATTACTCTAATGATAATAATAAATGACAATAATGACAATAATAATATAATATAATAATAATTAAATAATTAATTAAAATAATAATAATAGTAATAAAATTATTAAATACTATTATTAAGTTAAATTGAAGTAATGAAAGAGAAGAAGAAGAATGACAAAAATAAGAAAATTAACAATAAAAACAATAATTCAAATAAAAGAAAGAAATGAAAAAGATAGAAAAAAATCCACAACGGAAATTAGCATGCTCAACAACTAAAATAACACAGTTATACTATAAAGTGTTAATAGCAGAAGAAACATTATATTTATAAGTCATTAAAATACTATAATGATATAGCGATCAGACCACTCAAAGTATAGAATATATCTGACCAACATCTGACAACCTATTAATGTGTGGATCTACAGACGAACAGGACTGCAACAGGAACAACGAATGGAAATAGTAACATATGAATAAAACACACTGGAAATATGCGAAGACCTTTATATATTTCGCTATTGTATCTTATATCCTACTTATGACGAAGTCAATAGCGAAAAGGGCCTTTCGGTCTATAATTCGTGATATGTTTTCTCTGTTTACTCTTCTCCTCATTACTTTCGTTGTTGTACCTTGTGTTGCAGTCTGTTTTTCAACATAATTGACATTCTTATTAACTAGTATATTATAATATATTATTTTTATAGTATGTGGTTGTGTGATATTTGTGTACAAATGTATATTTATGATGTTATGTGTGTGTGTGTGGGTGTGTGTGTGTTTATATATAATGTGTGTGGTGATAATATTATAATAAAGAAATATACCCATGAATATGATATATAATATACTACTAAAATAATCTTTATTATTATTTTAATGTGATGTGTGTGTATAGTGTTGTGTGTGGTGTGCGCGTATTTAAATATATATTTAGTACGAAGATTAGATCAGATACGATTGTTAGATTATGGTATGTGTATGAAATAGGATCGATACGAAGGTAAATGAGACTCATGAAAAAATTACAACGATAGATATGTTAGCCAGTAATGAGAGCCTTTTCGCTAATGTGAATCGATTCAGTGGCATACAGCATCACCTGAATAACTCAGATATAGCACATATGACGAAAAAGTCCTCGTTTATATTCGTAGTGATGTTGTCTGTGTCTCATTATTTCCTCTTCGTTTGTTATACCTGATGGCAGTCTTATGTTTCTATCAGAATCTTAATATCGTTAGGTGTGTGTAATGATGTGTGTTGTGTATGATATGTATGTGATGTGTAGTGTGTGTATGTGTGATGTGATGTGTGTTAGTTTATTGATATAAATATGTGTTAGTAGTGTGTGTTGTGTTATTAGGTGTGTATATGTTAGGTATGTGTATGTAAATATATACTATATTTATATTATTATTTATATAATTGTTGCGCTATACGCTAGCTGTGTGTGTGTGTTGTCAAATAATAGTGGTACTAACGCAAGTAGGATATAAGTGCTAATAGAATTTACACTGAATTATTGGCTGAAAGGCCTTTTCTCTGAACTAATGCTTTCGTCAGGGCATTAATATGTGCATGTTGCATATTACCTGACGATATAATGAGCATATAGCCGATAATTAAAAGGCCTCGCATATTTATACGTTGATGTTTATCTCGTCCCTTCCCTTTCGTTGTTCCTGTTGCAATCTGATTTTCGTCTATAGTGATAATTCCACACAATGGTTGTTCAGGCATGTTGGCAGATATTCTACTATTTAGATGGTTATCTGATCCTTCGACAGTTATTTATGTTATTATAAAATGTGAATATTCTTTGTACTAATATAATGTAATATTCTTGTGTTGTTTTTGTTGCTGCGCTATTTCTGCTGGTTTTTTTTATTTTTTTTTTATTTTATTTATTCTTTTAAGTTTTAACACGTAACATTATCATAATTCATTCTCTATATATTAAGGATGTTCGTGGTGTTTTAATTCATTGACTATATTTTAAACATCGTGTTGTCATAGCTCTCCACCTTTATGGAAATCAATTGATTGAAGGTATATTTTATTTTCAATTAATATATACACGGTTGTACGTAAATATTTATATATAATGTATATTTATAATTATTATAAGACAAATTATATTATATTTATGACAATTATACAACTGTTAAATGTATATTAGCAAATTTATTAGCAATTATATAACACTTTGTAATGTATATATATAGCTAAATTATTATAATATGTATATTAGCAATTTATTATTAAAATACAGACTATAATGTTATTAAATAATTATAATTATAGCAATTTTATAGCAGCAATTTTAAATCAACATTAAATTAATATAATAATATGCCAAATGTTATATAACAACTTTAGTGATGACTGTTTCACTATATAATATACATCTATACTATCCAATACCATTACATCGTGACAAATTTAATTAAATTAATATTATAGTGGTAAATTATTAATGATGATGATGATAATGAATATATTTATAACCTGGATAATTAATAATTAATATATATAATTAATGATAATAATTTAATTGATGAATAATAACAATGATAATTTGGTATAATGACCAATTATAATGATAATAACATATTGTAATAATAGATGTATAATTAAATAATTGATAAATTAAATTAATTAAGTTTAAATAATTAATGATGATAATAAATATAAAGATAATTCGTGATATATAATCGATTCCTATATTAAATAGTAATTAGGTATAAACTCAATATAAGTTATATAATAATGGAATAGAAATAAAAGAGTGTAAGAGAAGCAAAAAAATTAAAAGGAAATAGTAGAGTATAGTGATCATACTAAAGTAAACAACTAAAAAACTCAAATAAACTAGAAATACTGTGAAATATAATACATATATACAGCCCAAAAAAAAAGACAAATAGATAAAAATATTAAAAAAAAATATAAACAAGCCTTTCGAAAAGGCCACATTCCTCCATCATCAATACTCTTTCTTGACCAGGGGATAATTATACGGTAGTTTCACTCTCTAAAGATCTGCCAGGCTAACTACTGGATTCTAGCCTATACAGGTCGGACTGGTACGGTCCAACTTGGTACCCAGCCGGTTATATTTAAGTTACACTTCTGCCCTGACCCACTCGCCTAGTGGAGGATCTATGCACTCAGCCCTGGTGAGTTGTGAGATATCAATGGGTAATTATTGATGACCTGTTGGAAGAGGACTATCAGGTTTATAATTAGAGTGGGTAGGGGGCGGGCTTCTCGTTAGTTGTTAGTTCCATGATTCATATTTGCAATATGACTTACTAGCTCATGTATCTTATAGTGGTTGTATTAATCTAGCGTTAATATCTTTAATTGTATATAATTTATGTATATCTTATATCTCGATAGTATGGCTCTATATAATATCTTATATAACTAAGCATCACACACACACACATACTACAGCACCACCTACACAACACACACTACAACACCAACTACTACACAATAACTTACGACACACACTCAAACACACACTAAATTAATATATAGATATATTTATATATAATATATTAATATATATATATTATATATAATTTATATATATTAATATATAATATATTAATATATATATATATAATATATAATATATATATATATATATATATATATATATAATATATATTAATATAATATTACAATTAGGTTTAAACAGAAGCTCCTGTGTAAGTAATTGTGGGAAATAAGTACAAAAATAATAAGTGCAAACCCCCTTTGGCTGGGAAATTAGACGGTTGGCTTACGCTGGGTGAACTTAGGTAGGAAACGCTGCTTTGGGTTGGGTTGGGAAGCGGCCCTTGGAGGGTGGGTCCAGGGAGAGCAAGGCGGAATAAGAATACTAGATGAAGTAGTTACGCTTTTCCTCCAGTCTTTTTCGTGTGTCTTGGGCTATTCTGGTATTCATTCAGAAGAGTGATGGTTCTCCAAATTATAAAGGGGGTGGGGGCTCCGAAAATAACTGTTTCCTATAGAAATTGAGTCAAAATGTCCAAAAAGCACATAAAATACCGAAAGAAACAGAACCTCAGCTTCGAAGCAGTAGATTGTCATAAATATTTGCCATTCCAAATGTGTCTTAATACTCTATGGCGATATAATGCTTCTTAAAAAATCATCAGGACATTTCTCGATATCCTAAATAAATGTCATACATGTATTTTCACATTCAACCAAATTCAAAAGTTCCTCTAGAACATCAATCACTCCAAAAACAGAAGAAAAAACATCAGAAGCTACGCACCTTCCTTGATACGGGCGACCACAGAGGTATTAACCGCAGCCACGTAGTTCTTCGCCTGGCACAGCAGCTCGGCCCCGTCGTCCTCCTCCTGCAGGACGAGGCTCAGCTCCACGCCCGAGCTGCTCTCGGCGCTGGCCATCTCCACGCCGTCCTTGAACCACCTCATGACCCGAGGCGAGAGACCCCCTCCGCTGGAACACGTGAGGTTCACGGTGTCCCCGACGGAGAACTTCAGCACGGCGTCGAGGCCCTCAATCGTGGGCTGGTCGGGCGCTGCAGGGGAGGCGGACCGCTGGTGAACAGCTGCTCGATTCGCAAGTCTTATCGAGGTCTTTTGGATGATTATAAACCGCTGCATTTTGTTCTTCATAAGCGTTATTCAGGTTTTAGTAGATTGTAAACCGTTATATGTTGTTTGACTTTCATTCTTGCTATCGAGTT